TTGCAGTAGTGGGTTACTCTTAGAACCTTAATTTGTAGTTTATGTTAGTGCATGTTTTACCTGAGTTTGTAACTCGTGCATATGTGTGTGTGTTTTGTGCAAGTGTCAATTGTGTGCTTCTAGGCTTTGCTCTTACTTTCTTTGCGTGTTACTATGTTTACTTTGCATGTGTCTCTGTTCTCGAGCCGTGGGTCTCTTGGAAACAGCCTCTCTACCTTTGAGTAGGGCTAAAGTCTGCAGACACACACCCTTCCTAGATCCTAACTTTTATGGGATTTTATTGGGTTTGTTATTGTATTTATCGGGCCGGTTAGACCCGCTTTTAGATGCATGAAATGAGTTTCTTGTCTTAGATTTGTACCTTTTGTTCTATTATTTACTCCATTCGTCCTTAATTTTACCTTTACTAGTCACATGGTCAAATCATATCTTATTTTTTACTTCTTACTTAAATCATTTGTTTGGATATCATAATCATGTTACCTCTTATTTTGAAAACTATTGATTTAATTTTTAAATATGTAAGTTCTATTATTAGAGTTCCACTCTAATATTCAAATTTGTCAAACAACAGTTCCACTCTAATATTCAAATAAATTGAGTTAAAACAACTTAGATCAAGCATCTTACACTGTAAATTATATTATAAACAGAAGTTTATTTAAGACGGGAGGGAGTAGTTTTTAACAGTTTTGTATTTTTTATTAAGGTTCCTGCCTCTATGAGCTTCTCCAGCTGGAAACCTCTCCACGTTCTAGTGACCAAGCGGAAATGGAAATTCAAGAGCATTCTTTGAGTACGTGATTCTCTAATATCTTGTTCTTGTATTGAAACTAGAATATGTTTTCTCTAGCTCTTACTACAATTTACTACTACTCATTTTTTTCATCTTCTACAATCCACTCCCATGAGGGAGTGTCTTGTACTATAAAAACATTTCCGAGGCTTACAACAACAAGTTTGAGCATGTAATTGCATTGGTTCATTTGAAAAAAGTAAATAATGTTCATTTGTTTTTCTTATTAAATACTCCATATTCTTTTTGAGGTAGCTAATACGTTGTTCCTATCAGGTCCTCGAAGTAGATTAGAATCTCTACTGAAAGAGTCTGGTAATAAATATTGTGCAGATTGTGGATCTCCAGATCCAAAATGGGTGTAAGTTGCTTGAACTATATGTATAAGACAGTTTTTTCACCTTACTAATTGTATGCTCTCTTTTTTCTTTTCTGATTTTCAGATCTTTAAGCCTGGGAGTGTTTATATGTATCAAGTGCTCTGGTGTACATAGAAGCCTTGGGGTGCATATATCAAAGGTTGGGTAACATACCCTGTTTTTTTCCCGAATTGTAATTGGCTAAGTAACAATGATTCTCAAGGTGTTGGGAAAAATACCTGGGGTCTAATAGGTATGAGTGCACACAAAATATGAGAGGAAAATTCATTTCTACATCATAGTTTGTAAGGCGCCAAGGCAAGTCGAGGTGCCAATGTACCTTCATATCGCCTAGGCGACGGCTAGGCGTCATATATATATAAGGCGAAGTAAGGCGACGCCTCGGCGAGTGCCTGAACGCCTTTAGATTTTCTGGGCGAGGTGAGAAGACTAGGCATCCAAGGGACAGTGCTTTATCGCCTAGGCGACACCTTACAGACTATGTTCTACATCAACCGAATAGAATTTACAAAAAAAACTAAAAAATAAAAACTCTAAAAAAACTTCACCATCTTTGTGGATTGATTTATCCACACTCTTGGCTTTAATTTCTTATCCTGGGAAATATTACATTTCAGAAGAAAAACTGTGTTGTTTTTGAATGATTGAAACTCACCTCTTGAATATGCAATGCCATGACTTTACCGTTATTCTAGAATGACCTTCCTCTCACATGAGTTAATTCCATGTCTCCAGGTGTTTTCAGTGAAGTTAGATGAGTGGACACATGAGCAAGTTGACATGCTAAATGAGATGGGTGGAAATAACGTCGCAAATTTGAAGTATGAAGCTGCCCGTCCAGAAAGTACTTATAAAAAGCCAAAACCAGATTCTTCTATAGAAGAAAGATCAGACTTTATAAGGTGATAATTCTTCAATCCCATAATGAAAGCTCACATTGGAATATATTTCTATGCCGAAAGTTTCTCATATTGGATATCCACTCAGGAGAAAATATGAGCTGCAACAGTTTGTGAACTCTGATTTACAGCTGATATGCCCCGCCACAACTTCCACTTCTTCCTCAGAAAAGAAACATTCTTCTGGTCATCGAATTCATGGTCTGGGACACGCATTTCGGAACAGCTGGAGAAAGAAAGAATCGGAACATCAGAAGGGAACCAGGAAAAGTAACTCAACGGTAAGTTATCCTGCTGCAAATACTTTCCAGCTCAAAACTAATACTTTCTAGCTAGAAACCATCACTTTAGAAAACAGGAAACTTTTGGGAATACATTAGTTTTTAGCCCAAAAAAGTGAGGTCTCACGCAAGTTTGAGATGGATGAATATGTTAGGTCTATTTAAAACAGCCGGATATTATTGTGCCCATTTTTCAATAGGCAGGTATGGTTGAATTCATAGGATTGATCAAAGTGAATGTGGTGAGGGGCACCAATCTTGCTATCAGGGATATGGTATCTAGTGATCCATACGTTATTCTGTCATTAGGAAGCCAGGTGAGACAAGGTCTTTCTTTTGGAATTCATTTTGGTTTGAGCTTTTGAAATGGATTATTATACTCTTTCAAATTTTGACATCTTTCTAACTTGCAGTCGGTGAAAACTCGTGTCATTAAAAACAATTTAAACCCGGTATGGAATGAGCAACTAATGCTGTCAATTCCAGAGAACATTCCACCTCTAAAAGTGGTAAGCTTATTATGCAACTCTAATTCGAACTCTTTTGTGTTTTTTTTTGAGTAAATTCTATAAATAGTACTCTATAACTGGAGGTTTCCCATATTTAGTCCATATTCATCAAATATTATGTTTACAGTCCTTATTGATTGGTACCATTCCACGTTTAGTCTTTGTGTAAGAGCACTGAAGCAGAAGAATAGACGGAGGACTAAATGTGGAATGGTGCCCAAGTAATAAGGACTGGAAACATAATATTTGATAAATATGGACTAAATATAGAAACCCCCTGTTATAAAGGATTATTTATAGAATTTACTCTATTTTTTTGTTTGTTTTTCCCGGATTTAAGTGTTGCCGACAATGATTTTGCAGCATGTGTTTGACAAGGATACATTTACAACAGATGATTTCATGGGGGAAGCGGAGATTGACATTCAACCTCTTGTTTCAGCAGTGAGAGCTTGCGAAAGTTCGTCCAACAATGAAACAATGCAGCTCGGAACGTGGAAAGCAAGCCAAGAGAACACACTGGTGGCAGATGGTGTTATAAGCCTCGTAGAAGGTACTGTGAAGCAGGTTATAGCCTTGAAGCTGCTGAATGTCGAAAGGGGAGTGTTGGAGGTTGAGCTCGAATGCGTCTCGCTCTCGCAGTAGCAGATGAATCTTCACTTTCACTTTGCTGCTGACCGACCGGTATATTAGATGAGATTTTCTCCCCGCTTTTTTTTTCTTTTTTTTAGTTTGTGTTGGGGACAGGGGGGGGTGAGGAAATCAAGGCAAAAATGCCTCACATGTAGACATAGTGTATGTACAATGAAGTGTGTTTGACACCAAGGCTAAACAAATGAGTGTTTATGACCCAAGTAGTCTTTTTCTCTACATGTTTCCTTTTCACTGTTATCCATGCATGGACATAGGATTCATGGTGGACCTTCATATAAGTTAATTAAGCTTTTGCTTACTATTGAGATAATCTTTTATGTTGTATTATTTAAAATAAATAAATAAAAACTTTTGCAAGAAGGTCCATGTATACATATACCTTGTAAGCCTTAGGTCTATAATTGAACTTTTTTTGCCAAGGAAGTAATGGAGTGAGAGTTAAACTTTCACTACTTTGTTTTGTTTAAACGTGGTAGAAAGGAATGAATTAATGAGAAATTAGATTTCCTTGTTCAATTAAAAAGTAATTAGGGAAGAAAGAAGTACTTATTGAAATAATGTTATATCTAGTTTTTTTTAAATAATGCGGTTATAACAAAATCATTATGTAATCATTGAAAAATATATATTTCCCATACAATGTAACAAATCTATTATAATTAAAAAATTAAATAAAAAATATCATTCGAAGTATTTTTTAAAATTATTATTGACAGTTGTCTAAAATATTATCAAAATGATTATTTATCTACAAAAAGAGCATCTCCATTCTTAAAGATATACCTATATCAATGACAAGATGAAAAGGCTTATAATAAAGACATGAATCATGTCTTAGTAACCAAAAAAACATCACGACCTTACTTGAACACGATCTGTTCTATAGGTTGTGCCTCCAAAAAAAAACAAAAAAAAAACTTCAAAGATAAGGTCATGATTCTATCCCAAAGGCCAAAGTCATAGCAAAATATTTAAACAATTGTCTGCAGCATACTCCTTGTGTTTTATAAAACAATTCCGCTCTCACTTTTCACTATTTCTATAAAATACTTACACTTTATATTAAAAAAGTCTATTTTACCCTATTAATTCTTACCTAATATATCATATTCCCTCCGTCCTATAATGATCTTCTCAGAGCACTATTCCAACTTCATGGCCTATATGATAAAATAAAATATTCTTGTCACCACTTGTTTTGTTGAACTTTTGATGTAATCTTTAAATATGTATGTTTTATTTTTTATTTCTATACCAATATTTAAATAAAATAGATTGAAAAAACTTGGGATTTTTCTTCGTTTTGCGAATCGGGAAGATCATTATAGGACGGAGGGAGTATCTATTTATTATTAATCTATCTATCACATCATATTTTACACATCATATCAAAAGACAAAATTGAAAAGTTAAATCTAATGAAAAATGGAACTCCTTTAAACAATAGAGGTAGTATACCTTAAAAGCATATTAACGTCTCTCATGATCACTAAATAGAATGTCGAGACGATCTTCAGCAGTAATGCTAAAAAATTATCCTTTGTCTCTCTCATCTATACACAAGAAAGTGAGAAACGATAGTACGTACCTCATGTGCATCTCACTGACAACACCAAGACTTTCCAATTCAAAATAAATGTACATCTTTTTAGTGTAATGTTGATGTATGCTTTAACTTGTTAAACAATTAATTAGGGGTCATATGTCAGCTTGCATTTGAGCCATGTGAGCTTACCTCTTTGTAATCTTAAAGTATTTTTGAGGCCTATCATGACATTTGTAATCTTACAATGTAAAAATTGACAGAAAGACTCCGTTTGGTACACGGAATTCAAATTATGGAATTGGAATTGAAGACTTCAATTCCAATTCTGGTGTTTGATAACACAAAAATTATGTGGATGTGGAATTGATAGTGCAAAAAATGAATTGGAATTGGCAGGATTCAATTCTATGGAATTGAATCCCATGGAATTTCAATTCCAATTCAATTCCAATTTCGTCAGTTCCGTATACCAAACGGACCCAAAGTGAATGGATTTTATTAAACTCAAACGGAGTATTTATAGATTATAAGTCTAACCTAATTATGACTTTATGAGTCCAACAACAAGGGCTACTAATACCAAATCATAATAAATCCGCTAACAATAAATTTCAGTTAAAAAAGAATGAATTACGTAATGTATATTATTTTTATAGAATATGTAAGTTGTAGTTTAAGAATACAAATGTGATTAAGACTCATTATATCTAATTTTATTGTCTACTGTGTTTAATTTTATTTAATACTATGGTGTTATGATATATTGTACACAATTTTTTTTGAATCCAAATTGTATGATTTGAGTTTAGTAATAATATATACTACTCCATAAACGATTAATGGAGTAGTATATTATAATACGATTTAATTTTTTATAATGCGATTAACTTAAATTTATGCCATAAAAATCATCATTACATATAAAAAATATTTTTAAAGTTGGCTAGAATAATTATTGGAAAAGGAATGATATTGTACTTCTCAACAAGATGTCATATAAGTAGTCTACTTACGTGATGCCATTTTCCTAAAGAACCCTAAAGAAGGGATATGACTTTGTGTTTAGTTTTAAATATAAGTCGCTAATAGTTATTTTTAAGTAAGAAAATATTTATTTTGAATATTTTTTTTCTCCTTCTATATCCTATCAAATGTTCATTTACACGAAATACAATACATATTTTCATAAAACAAATACTCTATAATATTCATTACAAATTTACAATTAAACTCTCTTTAGTACATAGAATTCAAACTCAAAAATTAGAATTACGGATAAAAATTTTAATTTTGTTGTTTTGTAACACAGAAATACGTAGAATTAAAATTGTTGATAAAAGTACCTTATATAAATTTCTCATTTTGAAATACTAGGAGAATCGGAGCACTGTCTATGTAGATAGTCTTCATCTTCTTCAGACTACCGGGCGCCCCTACCAGCTGACCACCTACTTGCCGCTACTGCAAAAACCAATCACCGCTGCCGATCACCACGCAACCCGTTCTTCATCGCATCTCTTCTTCTTCTTCTTCTTCTTCTTCTTTTTCTTCTTCTTCTTCTTCTTCTTCTTCTTTTTCTTCTTGTCGAAGAGGCCTTTTCTGAGTTCAGAAGACTCTTTCCTATGGTAAGAAGAAATCTCCGAATTGTGATTGGCGATGTTGAAACTTGAACTTTTGCAAGTGCCTGATCTCTTCTCTTTCGAATGCCTAGATTCACAAATATGAATTTTTAAATTGAATTTATATTCCATTTTCTGCTTCTGTTGAGTGATTCATTAACCCTTTTGCTATTTCACTGCAGGATTTGTTTAGGGAGGCCATTCTTCGGCGGGGATCCCCGGAAGAATTCGCTCTCCAGACTGTGCAAGAAGCTATAAAACCTCAGGTCTGTGAAGTTATTCTAGCTAACGCTTCATTTGCTTACTGACATTTTGGGATGGAAGTGAATCTTTTCGTTTTTAGAGTGCTAGTGTCACATGGTGATAGTTGGAGTTTGATGGAGGACTCCTAAAACTATAGTTCTCTATGAATTTATCCTTATATAAGTCCAGTTGTATAATGATATTATGCAATGAGCAACCCCCATGATTTTTCCTTTATTTTGTCCTCAATTTGAGGGTTGATATGCACCAACTCAGATCAATATTTTGAAAGACTGTGGCATTACTTTTGGCCTCTTGGTTGTATCGTTTATGTGTAGAGTTTACACACTGCAGGGAAATATGCATTTCAAGATGTAATGACATGATTTCCTTGTTTGCGTTGTGTACACTGTGTTCCCACTAGAATCTTTTGTTCTCTAGGTATGATGATTTATTTATTTTCCTTCGCCACTTGACAGAGGCAAACCAAGTTAGTCCAGGATGAGAATCAGCTTCTGGAGAATATTCTGAGGTCCTTACTCCAAGAATTAGTGGTAAGTGTTTTTTTCATGTCTTTGCCAATGTTACCATTTGGATTTTCCTAATTTTTCAGCACACATCAAGTTCCCCAATCCTTGCGATTTGTGAAACATGAACTAGAATTAACAGTACCATTTTCCCATTTTCCAATTTTCACACTACAAGAAATTCTAAAGCAATGGTAATAGCCAACAAGCTCTATCAGTTTCCAATTTTCCCGGAACATAAAAATTCATTATATGCCTCATCCTATTTTCCTGCTCTCCCCAGCGTGGGACTGTCTCTGTTTCTCTTCTTTACTGATTACTTGATGGTAGACCATTCTGATTTCTAAAAATAGCAAGTATTTATTTCTCAATGCAGACTTCTGCAGTACAGTCAGGGCAGAAAATCATGCTGTATGGGCAATCAATTGATGAAGATGAAACTGTGCAGGGTCAAATCCCGCGCCTTCTGGGTAAGATGCACATTTATTCTTGTACTGATATTATACTCCGTGCTTGTTATTAGCAAAACCAAACTAAACATACCTAGTATATCCAACTCAAGAGTAGGGCCTGTGGGGAGCAAGATGTACACAAACCTTACGTCTACCACAAAGGGTAGAGAGGCTGTTTCTGAGAAAACCTCTTGCTAACAATGACATTTAATATGAGTGAAAAACAGACACATGAACATAATGGCAAGAGCAACCACACACAGACCCTACAAAGGCCCTACAAGTCTAATACGGCATCTCTAGGAATTCCTATAAGAGATTATGTCCTCACTCCTCAGAGAGTTTTAGGAGTTAGGACCGCCAAGACCAATCTCGACTGCTCATCCCATGTTCTATGAGGTGTGCTTCTCCTCCCGGTCTATTTAACCAAAAATAATCTACTCTCTTTACTAGTGCTGTTGTATCTCTACGACGAATGTGACCAAACCATCACAATCTTCCTTCTCTTACTTTAATAGTTATGGGCATCATCTCTGGCTCAGAAGGAAATGCCCACATTCAGTGTTTCTGTCCAACAACGTAACCCACAAATCAACCGCAACATCTGCACCTTCCAGCTTCTGTACCTCTTCTTTATCGCCCAACATTCATACATTGTACAACAGTAGTTGAATAGCATTGGCAACAATTCAAAATCTACCCTTCAACATCAACAGTTAGTTCTTATTACGTAGCACTCTTGAGGCAGCCCTCCACTTCAACTATCGTACCTTAACAGTTGTGGTTATTTTAGAGGTGGGAAGGGGCTGAGACAAGGGGACTCTTTATCCCCCTTACTCTTTGTACTAATCATGGAGTACCTAAGCAGATTGTTACAGAGTATGGCAAAGGAAAAGGGTTTAAAGTTTCATTCCATGTGTAAATCATTAAAAATAATTAATTTGAACTTTGCTGATGACTTGATCATAGTGTGTAAAGCTGAGGAGAAATCAATTGATTACATTCTGGAAGTACTTGATAGTGTTCAAAAAACTACTGGTTTAAGTATCAATTGCACAAAGTCTCAGGTAATATTTGGTGGGGTCAGTAAGAGAGATCAAGACAGGTTTCTAAAGAAAACAAATTTTCCACTGGGAGAATTACCACTAAGATACCTGGGCAGCCCTATCACTGCTGCTAGGGTGAGTGTGAAGGAGTGCGATAAACTTGTGGAGAAAATCACAGCTAAAATAACTTCCTGGGTAAGCAAACACATGTCTTATGCAGGAAGGTGCAGATTAATTAATAGTGTGCTGCTAGGGATTATTACTTTCTGGAGCAGACTATTTATAATCCCTACACAGGTAATGAGGAAAGTCCAAAGCCTCTTTAGGAATTTTTTGTGGGGGGCTAAGGCAGAATACAGAAAAAGACCCCTTGTGAATTGGGATGAGGTATGTCTGCCTAAAAGATATGGGGGGCTGGGATAGGGAACATGGTGCTTTGGAATATGGCCTTCATAATGAATTACTGGTGGGATGTGGCAAATGACAAGAATAACCTATGGGTCAAGTGGATTCATGAAAGATATGTGAAGGGAGATAGCCTGGGCTATGTACTTCGAGGGGACACATGTTATTACTGGAAGAAGATTGTACACAACAAGAGGGGGTTTGATCATATGCCTTAAGGGGATGGGTATAAAACAGAGGAGGGATACATTGGCTCCTTGGGCAGAGAACCAAGCCGGATTGGAATAAGTTTGTATGAAATAATGCAACCATTCCAAAACACCAATTCTTAATGTGGCTTATTTGTCAAGGAAGGATACAAACAAAGGATAGATTAAGCAAGTTTATGCAGATTGATAAGAGCTGCGGACTGTGTAATATGGGAGAAGAAGATGCTGACTATCTCTTTTGTAGGTGCCCATTTACGAGAACAATCCTCGGGAGGGTGTCAGATTGGTTGCAACAGAGAATGGATGGAAATGAGGTGGCTGAGATAAGGAGTAAGATACTGAACCTGAACAAGTAGAAGGGAAGGAAGAGATGGATCAGTACCTATGCTGCAACCAGCTATGCGGTCTGGACAGTAAGGAACAAGCTGGTACACGAACGGAAGATGTTGAAACCAGAAGAGATCTTTGAATGGATCATATCACAGGTTGTAACCTATACTATGGGAAGGCAAAAGAAGAGGAGGAGCTGAATGCATTTGTTTCTTGTTGCTTAGATTGAGATATTAAGTGTAGGCAGTATTTGTGTGTATAAACATTTGTGATTCTGTTGAAGTAATATGATATGCATTTGGTTCAAAAAAATATTTAATTGGAACATCTCAACATGTCTATAACATTATTTTGTGTAGTAAATTTAATTAAGCGTACTTGGAAAGATATTCATAATTTCAAACTTGTTTCTTATATTCTTTTCAATTGCTTGAACATAATTGTATGTTTTCTGTGCCAATATATGTTTGGTTGTTTATGGTATGACTTTAGACATCAGGACTAATTATTTTGGAATTTGGTTATTAAAATGTGAAACATTGCAATTTTTTCTATATGTAAATAGATTAATGTAAAGAGTGAAAACATGATTTTCTCTTGAAAAGATAAAAATTTAATAGTATAGAGAAAGCTTCTTTGTGCTCTAATTGACCTGGCCCAAACCCAGCTCAAATTCACAATAGTTGTAACCCGGACCGACCGGAAAATATTGGACCTTCTTCCGGTCCCAAAAATTAGAACCAGAGTACTTTCGAGGTTTTACCGGTCCCAACAAAAAACCCGGGTCGGCCCAGCCCTATCTCATCCCATGAAAGTTCACCCCTCTTTTATTTGCAATACCATAAACTTGTTTGAGAAATATATAGCATAAACATCATTCCCTCTGTTATGTGCAATTCCATACACATGTAGAGTTGACTACTAGTGCATTTTTCCTGTCAGACATTGTGCTATATCTTTCTGAGAAAGAGCATATTGAAGGTGGTATGATATTTCAGCTTTTAGAAGATTTGACAGAAATGTCCACAATGAGAAATTGTGAAGACATATTTGGGTACATTGAGAGTAAACAAGATGTATTGGGAAAGGTGTGTAATATTTGACTTTTCATCCCTTTTTTTTGCACATGAATTGTGTTCTCTTGTGTGTGTACGCACATGTATGTCATCTGTGACTTTGTGTCAAATGGCTTATGTGGCTTTCTTACATTATGTAGCCAGAACTATTTGCACGAGGAAAACTTGTGATGTTAAGAACGTGTAATCAACTTCTCCGTCGACTGTCAAAGGTAAAGTGCTAAATCTTTGTCTCTATGTTCTACATTATGTTTTCTTGTCCAGCTCCATTCACTGCATAAATCAATTTTCCTGAGCATCTGCTATTGTAGGCAAATGATGTTGTGTTCTGTGGAAGAATCATCATGTTCCTTGCACACTTTTTTCCACTATCTGAACGCTCTGGTACTTTTAATGTTCTTGATTTGTTGTATGATTTAAAATTATTCTCTTCATTTCCGAGCATGTTATCCTCTGTGTGCTATTGCAGCTGTTAATATAAAGGGAGTATTCAATACATCAAATGAAACAAAGTATGAGAAAGAACCTCCTGAAGGTAGATGCTGTATTTGTTCATTGTCTATTAGTTTTTTGAGATCCCCTTGCTTATAGTATCAATCTGTTTTATTTATAGGTCTTTCAATTGATTTCAACTTCTACAAAACCTTTTGGAGTTTACAGGTGAGAATCTCGAATCTTGGCATGAGAGTGGATAAAATCTATATTGCTCCATGGCATCATCACGGCTTGATTTGATCATTCTATATTAGTTCCATCTGGAAAACTTTCAAGAGGACATTGGATATTTGATCATTCTATATTAGTTCCATAAAGCTTACAGTGTTTTCTCCATGTTTCATCATTTATCTTTTCAGGTTTATATCTGATGTATAGTTACTTTGCATCTGTTTTCTTTGGTACTCAGGAGTACTTTTGCAACCCGCCATCTCTATCTGTTGCCCCCTCCAAGTGGCATAAATTTACTGCCAGTTTAATGGTATCAATGTTGTTTCTGAACTTTAGAGGTGGCCTTGTAGGGGAATGTAACTTGATTTTTATGCAATTTTAAATTTGGGATATTCAGGTGGTTCTTAATACATTTGAGGCTCAGCCTATAAGTGATGAAGAGGGAAATGCGAATTACCTTGAGGATGAGGCAGCAGCATTCAACATAAAATATCTTACTAGCAGTAAGCTGATGGGTCTTGAGGTGTGAATCATCTATCTCTGAAAAGATTCCTGTAAAACTAATTTTTTTTGAAGAGCACTAAATCTTTCATACTACTTTCTTTTGTTTCGTAGTTGAAGGATCCCAGTTTCCGACGTCACATTCTAGTTCAATGCCTCATTCTGTTTGATTATCTTAAGGTAGTCATCTGCATTTGATCCCATGGAAAACATTGTCTTTATGTGCATATGGATTTGCACACCCTTGTATTCAGATATGATAGTAAACAGTAGTATACTAAGGTCTAGACAGACAAACAAATTTGAACGAGAAAGAAATGTACTCCCTTCATCCTCTAAATGGCCAAAAGAGCCCATGTTTTGAGATTTTTGAATCCAAAAAAGGAGTGGTTTTATAAGTCAAATTCATTTTTATGTAAAATTCCTGTAAGACAAGTGGCAAAGGGTGTTATTTAATTAATCGAAACACACTTGGAAATAGTTTAAGGGGTTCAAATGACCATCCATAACTCGTTAAAGCTTGCACCTTGATTTAGCTGGCTAAAAGTTAAAAGTTTACCTCACTCAGACAAGACTTTTTTGGGATGGAGGTAGTTTAACTTTTTCTTCAAAATTAGGAATGCAAGTGAGGAGTGTGGCAGCTTACATAGTTGTGTGAGCATGCCTGCTTTAAGATTTAAAGATGTCTGATTGTGGAAATCATACTAGTGGTTACATTCTAAATTCTGTCTAAAGTGTGCTACTCCTTTGGATTATGTAGTTATGTACACAAGCTCTGTCAGCGTTCTGTTTCAAAACCTTTATCCTTATGCTTCTGTTCCCAAAAAGTCATTCAACTGTAACTATGAAACTGTACCTTTTTATCTTTCAAATGTTATTCTCTTACGAGTTTTTTTCTCCCTCTTACCTTGCATGCAGGCTCCAGGGAAAAGTGATAAAGAATTTCCATCTGAAGTTATGGTTCGTATCATTATCAAATTGCAGCTTGATGTCATTCAAAAATAATTTATTATCTTTAAGTAATTATTTCATTCCACGCTCTCTTGCGATTCCCGTGGGCTATCACAATAATGATATGAATAAACTGCAAGGAAACCAGTAACAGCTATAAATATTGATATATTGGATATTATAACTGTATTGTGCATATAAATATTGAACTCTCTTAATCTCTTTACATTCTGGTAGCAGCAAACTGTAAAATGTGCTCCTTTATGGTGTGAAAGATGTTCCAAGTGAGTTTAATCTATTGCTCCATGAAAGAGACCGTTCCGCATTTATTGTTCTTTTTAACCCTATGAGGTTGTATATCTGAGCATAAATAGTTAGGATTAAGGTGGTGGCGATGATGATTCATATTTCTTATGTGCGTACTTTTATGTTTGACCAATGTAGAAAGAAGAAATAAAGACTTGTGAAGAGCGGGTGAAGAAGCTTCTTGAAATTACTCCACCTAAAGGAAAAGAATTTCTTCAGTCCATAGAGCTTATTCTAGAGCGTGAAAGGAACTGGGTGAGCATAAAGTGATCTCTTCTTTACCTCTGCAAGGCTGCAACACTGATCTCTCTATCATGTTTTATGTATATATGTCTGATGTTGCCTTTAGAGTAAATTCCTCAAATGATCCTCTATATTTGGAGATATTCCATATTCAATCCCCTACGGTATGGCATTCCATTGGAGGTCCACTGTAACTGTGAGCATTGCCAATTGTAGTTCTCATTTCATCAAAGCTACTCAATATGATACACTAAGAAGGGTTTAAAGTCGCAATCTTCCAGATTTTTAAGGACCTTAGTTGGCATTTAATGACATAGAGGACTAAAACTGAAAAAATGGTCCTAATTAATGTGGACCTCCAATGGAATTTCATAAAGTAGTGGACTAAATGTGGAACATCCTTAATTATAGAGGGTGGAATTTACTCTTGTATTTATATTTGTAGTTTTTATATATCTGTTCTTTATTAAAAGTGAACTTTTTTTAAGGTTTGGTGGAAACGTGATGGTTGCCCTCCATTTGAAAAGCAACAAATTGAGAAAAACCTAGGTCAAGGAGTGCAAAAGAAACGGTATTCTAAATTGAACTTGGTTCACTCTATCTTTTTTTACAAGATTGCATTAGCTGGTGAAACCTACTGAGATGAGACTATATGACACACTGACACTAGCAGTTCTAGACCCATTGACATGTAGTGAAGAGTGTTGACCATTTTAATAATTATATCCTAATAGCATTATGACAATGACACTAAAAAACACTACGCGGTTCAAATGACATTGGATCCCCATGTCATAGTATGACACCTGGTCCTTTTGGGCACCTTACGATGCTCCATTTTCCTTGAAGTGGTTTCTAACCCCCAAAAAACCCCCAGCTCGCCCCCTGCCACCTAATCCCCCCCCTCCAAGTTTGGGTGACAATCCACTTCAGGAATTGTGGTGGTGGGGGTCGAACGGAGCACCGTAGGGAGCGCAAATGGACCGGTGCCATATTATGATAATGGGATCCAATTTCATTTGAACCCCGCCCAAGAAAATATCTGGGTGCTTTACCTCAAGGATTTTGCATTCTTGTTTGGTCGTTGGATACAACCATATTGTTCGGTTGTTTCCAAACCTTGATTAAACATCCAATCAGCCAAATAGATGTTGCAACATACTTCCGATTTCCCAATATTTTCTATTTATTCCCCCGTTCTTTCTGCTAATTCTTCAGCCGACAGAGGTGGAGGCTTGGAAATAAAGAACTCTCTCAATTATGGAAATGGGCCGATCAGAATCCGGTTTGTTTTGTTTTTAAGCTTTACAAACCAGAATTTCCAGGGGAAAAGAATGTTTTCTGTGATTTAGGATAATCTGTTTTATTACGGAGTATTATATAGGATCAAAACTTACCTAATCTTTAACATACAGAATGCTTTAACTGATCCTCTACGTGTGCGCACTCCTGACATCTTAGACTACTGGAAGCCCTTGGCTGAAGATGTAAGCTATGATCTATGCCTATTAGTGAAACATAATGATGTTGTCTATTTGTTTTTATCCCATTTAAAAAACTTTATTCTTACCCATGTACTATTGTACTCGGAAAATATCTTTGTTAACTTATAGATGGATGATTCTGCTGGAATTGAAGCCGAATATCATCACAAAAATAATAGGGTCAGTTTCCTCATATTCCTTTTTCCTATTAGCTTTCTGGGTGCATTTTGCAACTAAAAAGAATGCCATAGGTGAACCCTTGCGCAGGGCTGGGAAACTGTAGCAGAAACTTCTAAAATGAACCAACCAAAAGTTAATGCTATAAATGTAAACCACGAACAGTTAGTAACTCACACTTCCCTGTCTCATCTGGTGCAGGTTTATTGTTGGAAAGGTCTCCGGTTTTCTGCTAGACAAGATCTGGAAGGATTTTCTCGAGTATGACTGTTTTCCCAAGAAGTGTGTATGTGTATGCGTGCACATGTGTGTTTAGAGAGGGAGAGAATCTGTACCTAATTTATGAAGCATGTTCTGCCAACATTGCAGTTCACAGAATATGGAATCGAGGGTGTCGTACCTATGGAACTATTGCCTCCTGAGGTAAGGTCAAAATATCAAGGGAAACCGATCGACAAGTCTAAGCGGGCCAAGGAGGAAACAAAAACTTCAGTGCAACAAGCAGAAGGAAATCAGGTGGATAAAGTTCTCAAATTCAAATTAATATTCCCTATGAAATCTACCGTTCGATACATGAACCTGCGAAGTAGACAAGTTTATTTGAGCCATGCTAGAAACCCACCACGGTTGATACCACCGTTGACAATTGTGTGTGAATTTGTACATACACAGACGATAATCGTTTGTGAACTCTGTAATTCTCTGTATGTTCATAGACGTTCACGGACGATTATCATCCGTGTTTATTCAAATTTACAGATGGTGTCATCTATGGTGGTAATAACATCTTGGTGTTACTCTAGCATGTTTTACTTTATTTTGCATCTCAAAAAAGCCTGCGGTTTCTTGGTTTCTTGGTCAATTGATTCTGTTTCTGATTAGTTATCGTTATTTTGCCTAGGCAACAATACCAACTGGGGAGGTAGGCGCTGAGGGAAGCAGACCTGAGCTGGAAACCTCATCCAGTGCTCCAATGGACACATATACTGCTGGGAACATTTCTCAAAGCGGACCACCAACTCCAGATGAAAACCAGAAGGAAAGCTCTGAAACAGATGGTCCGGAAGCTGGGCAAATGGAAGCTGATGCAGAAACACCACAAATGGAAGCTGATGTGGAACTACCGCAGATGGAAGGTGACGTTGGAACAGAGGCAGGAACCGAAACAGGCGATGCAGATGGCTGATTAATACATGCGAGGTGAGCACTTGACAGTAGAAGCTATATCCCTGCAATGAAACTTCTTTTCAAATAATCAAATTACATGAAGAGAGTGGATTTGTAATTGAGTTTTGTTCGGAACTAGAGGAATTTGGCCCAAATACAAATCATTTTTTTTTGGGTTTCCCAAACATTTAATTTGGGTCAAATCTGAATTTGAAATCCAGTTTTAAGTTTCCAAACAGGCTATAAAGAGATTTGGATGGAAAGACGGAACTAGAGGAATTTGGCCCAAATACAAATCATTTTTTTTTTGGGTTTCCCAAACATTTAATTTGGGTCAAATCTGAATTTGAAATCCAGTTTTAAGTTTCCAAACAGGCTATAAAGAGATTTGGATGGAAAGACACCCTTAGAGAAGAAGAGGCTGGATTTGCATTGCCCACACAGCTCATGAGTTCATTTCAACCATAGCAAACAGTTAATGGCTTGCTCACTATGGACATCACTAGTTAGTGTTTGTTTGGTAGACCTTTCTTCTCTTCTTATCAATTACTCTCTCGGTCTCTTTTAAATCTTCCATGTTTTATATGGAGTACTCCCGTTCTAAATTAAATTGTCTATTTACTATTCACATAATCAAACTTCATCCACTTTCTCTCTCTTGTTTTGATAGTCATTTGATAAAATAAAATAGTCATGTCATCACTAGTTTTGTAGATATTTTGATTTAGTATTTTAATATGTAATTTCTATTTTTAAATCCTACACCATTTTTCAAATAAGATAACTTGAAAATAATTTCAGTCAAATATAATAAACCAAAATAGGGAATATAAATTAGGACGGAGGGAGTAATGTATATTTATCTATAAATGATAATATTGATGGTTAAAGTGGTATTGAAAACCATGACAATTCAAATAGGAAAGTACAAGATTGGTTGCAAAGGGCTACACTCAGAAAGAGGGAATTGACTATCAAGAGACCTTTTCTCCTGTCTCTCGAAAGAATTCCTTAAGGATCGTTATGGCCCTTGTAGCTCACTTTGATTTAGAGCTACATTAAATGGATGTCAAAACCACTTTCTTTAATGGCGATTTGGATGAAGAAGTGTTCATGAAACAACCCAAAGGATTCAAATCTGAAGGTCAAGAACATCTAGTGTGTAAGCTAAATAAATCCATATACGGGTTGAAGCAGACATCACGTTAATGGTATCTAAAGTTGCATCAAGTCTTGAAGTCAGAAGGTTTCATAAAGAACCAAGTGGATCAATGCACCTACCTTAAGATGAGTGGGAGCAACTTTACTATACTTTTTCTTTACGTACATGACATTCTATTGGCAAGTAATGGTTTATACATGTTGCATGAGTTCAAGCGTTTACTCTCGCGTAATTTTGACATAAAAGATTTTGGAGAGGCTTTTTATGTTATTGGCATCGAAATACACTGAGATAGAGTCAATGGTATTTTGGGATTATCACAAAAGGCCTACATTGAGCGCATCCTTGCACGTTATAACATGCAACATTGCTCTCCTTCTGTGGATCCAGTAGTTAAGGGAGATGTTTTCGGTTTATTTCAATGTCCGAAAACAGAGGTGGAAAAAGAACAGATGAGAATGATATCTTATGCGTCAGTAGTAGGAAGCCTTATGTATGCACATGTCTGTACTCGTCCAGGTATTGCTTACATTGCTGGAATGTTAGGTCGTTATCAGACCAATCCTGGTCTTAATTACTAGAAAGCAGCTAAGAAAGTGCTTCGATATCTACAAGGGACGAAAGACTATAAACTAACTTACAAAAGGAGTGATAATTTAGAAGTCGTTGGTTATTCTGATTCTGATTTTGCTAGGTGCAAATATGATAAGAAATCCACTTCAGGGTATATCTTTATGTTAGCTGGCGGACCTATCTCGTGGGGGTCTTGAATTGATTATCGATTCAATGACTGTATTTCTCTGCTACAATTTTGCTTTAGAATTAAAATGAGTATTAAAATCTGATTAGACTTAGCTAATACTCATCATAAATGATTACTCGGTCAAGTGGGAGAATGTAGGACACGATTTTATTATGTGGCCTGAGTTATTATTTATCTAATTCATTGATTATTGACCTTATAAATACCCTACATATTTAATTGGTTATTATTCGATGGACGTAATTACCCTTAAGACCTAATTAGGGTTTGAGGTCATTAGGCAGAGATCACAACGCACCAATCTTACGCCTCTTCCCTGCCTCTCTATTCTCATGAGTTTCATCGTCACCTTAGCCATCATAACGATACACCTAAACGGGAACTCAATTTGCATCAGAATCATGGCCTCATCCCTAACTACGTTACAGGATTGTCAGGTACACATGATTCAATTCTTGATTTATATTTTATGTTTAAGAATTGATTAATCAACACAATCGCTCATATACCACATCTTTGGTTTGACTATGGTTCTATGGTTCATGTAACCAACTCACTCCAGGGATTCCTTACAATCAAGAAGCTGGAAAGAAACCGAAGAACATTTAAATTGGGGAATTGAATAGAACTAGTTCAGATACCAAATGGTCAGATTTAATCACTTTGGAGGTCTTTTCCCACAAATTAGTATCAAAGATGCTACTAACACAATAGGAACATCACACCACCCCTAAATGAACAAAATGCAAAACCATAACTTCCTACAAATCAACATTGAATTTTGGATATCATATTAAAAAAATATGCCCTCTATGCAGTGCAGCTATAGAGGATGCATTCCAAATCCGCACACGATGCACATTTCAAACATCTTATTATGCTAGAGACGTAGTAATACCTATTATGTGAATACATAGGCAACTACAATCCCAATTCGTCCATGAAAATGCTTCAAATTGTAAAACACCACAATTTCAACACCTTGCACTTCACATTTTCTCATGCACACTACTTTTTTAAACTACCCAACACCACATTCTTTAGTTTTTTATGTGACGATTATAATTTCAACATCTCGCACTTCACATTATATACTCTCTCCTACTTTTCAACTTCTAATGGATATTTTTTGAAGCGGCACACAAAAGTTTCAGATTCTATAGTTTCAATATGGGGGGCTGCGGACCCGTTTTTTTTGCTTGGATCAGTATTCTTTCGGCCCGGTTCCAGTGCCACTGGAATCCGGTGCCACTCCGGTGCCACCGGCATTTTGGGGCACCTCCGGT